ATTTTTGAAGAGATTGGGCCTTTGAGGGAGGGACTTACGATTCGCATCATGTTTGACTTACGGTGAGTTTCCCGGAAATCCTTGCACCATCACGGGCAACCGTCATAATGTATCTTGTGATGTTCCTGTAGGTTCAGCTACACAAACGGGACTCAAGCACAGATTCATTGCATTGATTAGTGTAGGTTACTGACTTTGGTATGAGCCATAAGCTTTTAATTGTTCCCTCGCCGCACTATCAATGTCACAAGGGTACTTCGCCTCAGCAGTATAAATTCAGCACCAGGATTGTAGCGCTCAGATTCTTTGTCACATTACCACTTCATATGCACAAAACAACTCTGTGTTTCAAACCGCACGGCTACGGCGATGAGCTTTAGGGTGGAGGGGAAATCGCTCATCCTTAAATTAGGGGTGAGCACAAGTTCGGAACAGCGTGGCGCGAGTCTAACCCGAACTTACATTTCGATCTACGAGATATGTTTAAAGTTAAATCCCGCAGTAAAGGCCCAGACCAACTGGACGTGGACTCTCAGTTCCGAATTTCAGTGGCTGGCGGTAGCGCTATGGGTTGAAGGCAATCGTGCCGAGAATCGCCACTTCTTGACCAAAATTTCAAAGCACTGCAAGGTGACACTTGTAAAACAACGTCCACATCCCGCTGTGTAAGGTGTGATCATGACGTAATCGTCAACAGGCCGCAAATCTCGGTGGAAAGCCTCGCTCTAAATCATAGTAATCATAGCCCTCCAACGCTTCATTTCCGTTAACCGCATTCTCTTCGTGTGCTGGGTCAGGGGCTTGTAGTGTTGCAGACAGTCAGGGGCCACATCAGAGGTGTCAGTGGTCTATGCAGTCTACGCATTGTATGCTGCTGAAGTTATTCCTGACCAATCCTAATGCCTTTATTTTTGGTCAGCTGGGAATGCTGCAGCTATGAGGACGGTCTTCTTCTCGGAACCCAAGGTGTTTTGTAAAGTACATACTTTTGAAGTCTACGATCTAGTGCCATATCGGTGAAGGAACTTGGCCGCCGACACCCTAACTGACCTGTCGATCAACAGAGTCACATTAGTCGACATGGTCGAGTCGGTGGAGCAAATTAAGTACTTACTCCATACTTGACCCAGTTTTATTAACCTGAGTCACGACATTTCGAAGGCCCGAGTAAAGCCATCGTCTGGGTAAGCCCCCTCCTCTCAGGTTCTGTCCAACGGTGAATGATATCCATCATCATGTTGGGATACCTGGTGTGCCCGACGATCTATCAGATTGATGTTATTGTTTTGCACGAAACGGCCATCATGAACACCGGTATTAAGTTGTCGCCTATGCCTCTGTTGAGTACTGAGTCGCGAACGCGAAGTGTTAAATCAACCTGTTCAAGTTAGGGTAGTCATACCACGTACTATGAGTCGAAAGAGCCCATTCGTTGTCTCCGTTTGCGCAAACATCGTAGTTTCTCAGAGAAACAGATATGAGTGAATGTTCGTAGACCAGTAACTTACGCCAGGTGAATTTGGTGAGATGTTGAATTCTTGAATTGCGATGTCAAAATGCAAAGGTAACGCTGCTGCTACCGTATGTGCAATGTAGTCGTCAAGTTGTGATCAACCAGACATGCGGAAGCTTGGTGAGCTTACATAAGAAAAATTTGAAATTGCAGAATCGTTTCCCGATCAAGAGTAGTTGTTTTGTCAAGAGCCTTTGATCCAAACATCACGTACGCGCAAATTGAAGGCGAGAGGTTCATCGTGCAAAATGATCGATGTGTTCCAAAACGGTCAGGCCAGAACTCAGGTGACAGAAATGCTGAAACGTGCACGGTGCGTGTACCATAAATATTACAATTAATACCCAAGCTCAAGCCTTCGTTGGTATGTAACTCCCACTCCCTCTCTTTAACTTTACTCCCACACAACCATCCCATCTACTGACTGTCTTGACGTTTTATCGTACTATGGCTCAGAAATACGCACCATATGGCCTTTGGGAGTCCCCCATCACAGCCGATGCTATTGCTCAGGATGTATGTTTTTCACATGGTCTCTAATCGCTCGGCATTTCAAACTAATCTACGTGGTGACCTTAGAGTGTCGGCTTGACCGCCATCTTTGTAGATCCTGTTACAAAGGATACCTACTGCATCGAACAGCGTGCATCGGAGGGTGGTCGATGCGTGGTTATCAGTAACAAGACTCAAAAGGAAGTCTTTGGCAAGGACTTCAATGCGCGCACGCGCGTTCATGAATATGGTGGAGGTGCCGCAATCGCTTATAATGGGACTGTGTACTCTTCGAACTTCATGGACTTCCGTATCTATGCCGCGAAAGATGGGAATATCAAGCCAGTCACTCCAGGTGCCCAGGTACATTCTTTGAACTATAACGCCGTACTTACACTCCCTGCGCAGAGGATCCAAACAAGCTTTATCGCTACGCAGATTTCTGTGTACACCCAGTTCACACAGATCTACTCGTCGCTATCTTAGAAGACCATACCAACGACACGCCGCGTACTGTGCGCAATTCTCTTTGTGTCGTCAACTCCTCAGCTGCCACTGTCACGTCTTTGGTTTCCACCGAGGACGCAGAAATTGAGTTCTATGCAGCACCGACATTTTCCCCTTCTGGTGATAAGCTCGCATGGCAGTTCTGGAAACACCCAGACATGCCTTGGGAGGGTGGACAGATCTATGTGGCCGACGTCCATTACAATTCCAATACTCATACACTTAGCCTGAGAAACACAAAGCTGGTTGCCGGCGAAGCTAACAATATTAGCGCGTGTTATCCATTGTGGGCTTCCAACGACAAGCTTCTCTTTACCTCCGACGAAAGCAAGTTTGCAAACCTGTGGGAGTATACCCAGGCGTGTACCAAACCCGTTCTCTCTTCTGTCGTGCAGCAAGACTTCTGCATGCCATCCTGGACGCTTGACAATTACTCATTCGCCTTACTAGACGAGAATGGCACAAAAGCTATCTGTGTTGCGTGGCGGGCTGGCCGAAGTGTCCTTTATGTGGTCGATATCGCCACAGGTTCCTACGTAGAGATCAAAGACGAATCGTTCGACTTCGTGGTGGTAAACAATGTCTCTCGTCTGTCGGACTACACTTTCGTCTTCACGGGATTGCAAAGCAACGCTCCTGGTGCAGCTATGCTCTGCACTCTTACAGGACCATCATTCGTTCCAAATTTCCAGGTACTCAGATCTACCGCATCGGCATCCGCCGCTCCATTCCCTGAAGGCATCATTTCACTTCCAACCCCGCTTGAGTTCAAAGTGGCAGGTGACAAGACCGTATATGCTGTGTACTACGCCCCAAATAACCCAGCTTATGCGGGTTCGAGCATTCCCGGCGAGAAGCCGCCCTGCGTGCTTGGCGTACACGGTGGTCCCACAGGATTAGAGACCCAGAATTTGAACTGGCAGAAGCAGTATTTCACAAGCAGAGGATATGCTTGGTGTGTCCTGTCGACTACCGAAGTTTCATCACACTCACAAGTTGCAGGTTGGATGTAAACTACAGTGGCTCTTCGTGCTATGGGCGCGCATATGTGTATGTTACCATTCGCTGTCGTGTTTCCCGTGGAACAACGCTGAAGATGTGACAAAGGGAGCGTCTCCAAGGAAACTGGGGTATTACCGACGTGAGCGACTGCATTGGCGCAATCCAATCGCCTCAAATCAGCTCCCTTATCGACACCAAACGCACTGCGATCCGGGGCGGGAGTGCGGGAGGGTTTACTACCCTTGCTGCCATTTCCCTCGACTCCTCCGCAGCGAGCAAAGTGAAATTTTTCGCAAGTGCCACGAACAGCTACGGAGTTTCAAACATGGAGCTTTTCGCAGAAGACACCCACAAGTTCGAGCTCATGTATATCATAAAGCTTCTCGGCGGTACAAAAGAAGAGATTCCGAAAGTTTGGCACGACCGGAGCCCAGTGTATTTCTCAGCGAACATTAAAACCCCATTACTCGTATGTTCATATCTCGATCAAATGTGTTGTGTTGGGTAGATAATTTTTCCAACAGGTTCTTCAAGGCAACGATGATGCAGTTGTTCCGCCTGCACAATCCTGGACTATTATTGATGGGATCATTAAATCAAAGGGGCATGTTGAGGCGCATTTCTTCGATGGCGAACAACATGGGTGGCGCACATCAGGGACGCTCAAGAAGGCGATTGAGTTCGAGAGGGAATGGTACGAGAAGAGCATGGTGAGGCCCACTGTAGCAACTTGAACTAAGAACAGTATAGCAGTAATGTATCATTGGTGTATGAATATGAATGAATCAAGTAGAAAAGATGTGTGTGTCTATCACAAGAAGGTCTTCGAAGTGTGACGACATGTTATATTTGACTCGGATGGCCATGGGGTTAGACGACACTAGAGAACACGACCTCGGTGGACCCTCGAAGAGATACAATTCAGCACCGCACCTGGATTTTGATTATCACTCACAAAAAGTGTCTAATGAATGTGTACAAATTCGTCTGAGTCATCTTAAATCTAGGCTCGAGACTAGCCTGGCACGGACGAGTGGCATAGCCAGGGTGTCTCATTGACGGAGTGACTCTCAACAGTCTATCTCAAAGCCAGGTAGCAGTGGTACGTATGATTACAGGCGTTCAACAGAAAATTCATAGTGTTACTAACAGTACACCTTCGGCTGTGTGAAGAATCGGAGAGGCTCGTACTAGGAGCGAAAAACGAGGACGAAGACTTGAGATTGGGTCAAAGACTAGAGAACGATATTCGACGGGGAGCGTATTAATACGCTGATTGAGACGGAGAATCAAGGAGAACGTGTCTGACGCATGTAACGAAGGGTGATTGCATGGGTAAAAGAAAGGGATGAGTACGTACGAGAGTGACGTCGATGGTCATATCTTGACAGGTTGTCTAGGGGAGACTATAACAGTACCGGTACAAGACAACTTTGTGTCAAATGATAGCAGTTCAAGCGAGTTCCCACTGTTCTCCATGCTCCGTTTAGAGGAGCTCATTCACATTCTCACCGCTCACAGACAAGGAAGACCCCACGGTGAAGTTGGTCAGAAGGGTACTGAAAGTCAACTCCGACAGAGGAGCAAGTGAGAGAATCACTTGAGCGGTGGTGGCATTGACGTTAACGGACAGATCGGTGGTAGTCAACTTGATAATGATCTTGTCAGAGCCAATCATGACAGTCCCTGCAGTATCGTTAGCGGTGCGACTAACGGTGAAGCGAGTGCGTTCGGTGCGCGAAACATAGACTGCCTTTGTCGCGTTGGACGATTGGGGATAGTACCAATAGTCGTAAGGAGCAACTTTGGAGCGAATGAAGAAACTTTTGTGGGGTCGCTATCAGCCAAATGTGGAACATGCCGCAAGGAACTAACTCACGAGTTTCCACTGATGTGGTCCGCGAAATGTTCAAGCTGTGGGATAATGCTTGTGTTGCGACCAAGTGTGTCATTCAGCAAGGTGAAAAACACCTTGCCGAGGAATTGGGTCGCAACTCCAGGCGTGGTGAGGGTGTCGGTGACGCTTGCCACGAGATTGTTATGGGTGTAGAACTGGGCGTTGACACGCTGAACACTAGTCACGAAAGTAGCGACGGCGGAAGTGGACACGGCACGCCACCACTCATCGGCAACTTCGCGGCTAGAAAAGGTAATCACATATCGAGCGCTCCAGTTGTCCGTAATCTCAATGGCGATTCAGCTCGACACTGCAGACATCGAAGAATGAATTTCAGGCGTACCTGTTTGACATATGCGTGGAAAACCATGACTGTATACTATTCAATATGAGAGATGATTTGTTGGTTGTGGTTGGATTGAAATGATCATTCGAACGCTGTACATTATATAGAGAGAGAAAGTTGTTTGGTTGGGTTGATCATAACATCTCGATTCTCGACCAACTGCGGGGTTGATAAAGCAATCACTGCCGATCCGAACGAGGACCTGATGTAAGATACATTTGACCGTAATGTCGCACCAAACTGGACATTCCGTCAGGCTGCATTTCTCGGTACCTGAAGATGCACAAAGTCAGCAACCTCGTCCGACAGGTGTGTAAAAATAACAACCGGCATTGAATATTGATCCCCCTGACTTCTTTTACAACTTCGACAATATGATGTTGCCTGTTCCTTTGGCAGAAAGATAGACATGCCACTGGAGTGGTGTCCGGCTCTGACCAAGAAGGCCCGACTCATGTTCTCTAGCTACTACATCCGAGCGTGATGGCTAACTGCTGACAAACACTGCAGTTTGAACACCGGCAAGCTCCGTGCCTCTGCGACCGCCCCCAACTCCACCACCACCGACGAGTCACCACTGTGATAATAAGGACAGCTGGTCCAGGAAAATCAAGAATATATGGAATGCTGGTTGTGATTTTTACACACCTGCTGGACAAGGTTGCTGACTTTGTGCATCTTCAGATACTGAGAAATGCAGCCTGACGGGATGTCCAGTTTGGTGCGACGTTACGGTCAAATGTATCTTACATCGGGTCCTCGCTCAGGTCGGCAGTTTTTTTTCAATCAAATTTATTGTCCTTTGGGGTCAGGGACCCTATGTTGGACATAGCCCAGGGCTTACTCCCACCTAAACTAATGTAATGTAATGGGTAGTCACTATAATGTATACAGGTGTTTGAACGGCTCGTTTCAATCCAACCACAGCCAACAAATTATCTCTCCTGTCGAATATACAATCATGGTTTTCTACCCATACGTGAAACAGGTACCAAAATCCATTCTTTGTTGTCTGCGATGTAACATGTGCTGTTCAGATACAGACAACAGGACCTATCAATAGATTACCTGATATGCCGGGCCTGAAAGCCCTGGATTAGGCCTGGCTTGACCTAAAAACCTTGGCTTGGGCCTGGCTTTTGAGGGCTCGGGCCTGCCAAAACTCACGCCAGGCCATATCAGAGGGCCTGGGCCTGGAAAACTCGAGCCAGGCCCTAGGTCTTTACATCAGGAAATCAACCCGGAATTGATACAACCAGGTAGAGCTGACAAATAGAACCCATTATGATATGTTTTGATTTAGAATTACACATTATTATCTTTGCGCAACATGCATATGAAAAAATATATGACTATGCTAGGCACATATAATTTTGATGAGCATCTTACAAGTATGAAACAAGTATTTGAATGAATATATGAGTATGCTAGGGACATGTCAATTTGATGTGCAATTATAAGTAAAGATCAACGTGATAAGTGGCCTTCCATACATTGTAGTTAGCTGGCTGATGATGATCAAACTTATAGCATGTCGTGACACTGTTTTATGTCACTAGCAAGTAGCTGCCAAACTGACAATTGTGACAGTGGCTTAGCAATGTATTATAATGCGATGTCTTCGCCGATTCTGATGGCGCCTGACATCATTTTCATATACAATGATATATTCTACCACAAAGTAAAATACAAGCATACAAGCGAGACAACAAATTGCAAAAGGCGTGCACTTTACTGACTAACTTGAACTTTTGCGTACATAGTCGTAGGCTCCAAGAAGATTTGGTTGCTAACCATGATATCAGCAAGAGTCATTTCAACGTAGCACAAAACAAAACACCTTCTCATATGTCAGAATTGCAAATATCGTCCTCAGAGTCCGGTTGATTGATCAGGGGTGCACAGCGGATTGTGCACGCTATGACACAGAGCTTGCTTGCCTTGAAGCAAGATGGCGATCCCTCCCGAAATCAAGGTCAGCACTCCAACCTCACAAAAGGAAAAGGAAAACCTCTTACCGGTCACTACTCACAGCGCAACACCGATCCCACTAGGCCTAACAGTACTTGGCACCCTCATCCTACTCCCGGGAGGACCTGAGGACGAGCGATACTCATCCACGTCTTCATTCTCTTCACGAAGGATAGAATGGGATATGCTGCGTGAAAGGGGGTGTAGGGAGCGGAAGGAGGAGTGAGATTGGGATGTGGATATGGAGATGGCGGATGAACGCCGGGAGTGTGAAGGTAGGAAGAGAATCCGAATGTACGTACCTTGTATATCGAATTGACATGTTTGATAAATCGCAAATACGTTCTCGTGAGGATATCTCGTTCGCATGCGCCTGTCATAAAACCTGCGTTGGTGTCAATGGCAGACAGAAGAAAGAATACTCACACGACTTCTTCACTCTCCCTCCCGACGCGTCCAACACCAGCTCTATAATTGCCTTCCATACGGACTTCTACAGCTGCGAAACAAGCCAAGTTCGACGAGTGAGCGAATAACAGCGCCTTCGCACAGAAAGTTGCGTAGAAGCCTGAACTTGGATCAGAACTGAATGAACAGCACAAAAGGCAGAAGATATGAATGAAGGGAAGGATGGTAGAGACAGAAAACGCACCCGAATATGCCAGCTTCACCCTCTAGCACCTTCCCATTGATAATATGCAGTGGGGTGAGCGAATTTCCCAACAACCGAAGGCAGGTGTTACGGCGCGGAGGATCTAGGTGGAAGTTAGAGTTGTTTCTGGGATATAGTAGTAGGCAGACCTTGGTAGTAATATGATACTTGATGAGACGCAGTACGATGCCTCTGAAGCCGAGGGACATTGTGAGTTGGGAAGTGAAGAGAAGGAAGTCGAGGGGATGATAAGATTGCCGCTAGTAGAAAGAGTTAGTTCTGTTTAGGCGGGGTGATAAAGATACCAGCGACACCCTCTGCCCAAGCGTCGACGTCTGTTGTAATGTGCTGGTCGATGCCATGGAGGAGAAGACTGTAGTACCGGAAATCCAGAGTACATAGCGGTGTCGTGAGGAACTATGAATGAAATGTAAAGAAAGAGAGAATATCAGGCTGTGATATAAAATACTATGTATGTAACGTTTGGAATATCTGACGCGGCTGTGTAGATTGAATTATATATCGTTGGCGTTTGTTTCGAGCACATCAAACTATTACTATATGCGAATATTTACATGTTTTGCTGCATCATCTTCCTGACTTCATCGTAAACACAACTTCAGCTATGTGCAAGCAAGAACCTGTGAGCAACTTACGGGCGTCACAATCTGTACTAATCATTGTTAGATTTGTTGTCTGATTCAAAAGAAGGGGGAGAGAAAGGAAATAGGATGTCGATCGATTAGAGTGAAGCAGGTAGCGGTGGAGGAACGGTACGTACCCCACATTCCGCGTTGATTAGTATTGACGTTTGCGATCCAAGGGATATGAATTTGGACGGCGGGGAGACGTTGGGTGATGATTCTAAGGGAAGGGTGAGGAAGGTGAGGAAGGTATCAAATGTGTCTGGTGGGAAGGCCAAGTACGCACCCATCACGGGGAACTTCGACATCGTTACCATCCAATTCGTTCGCCTCCAGTGAGATTATCGGACCGGTACGTATCCCACATTCCACGTCAATTAGTATTGACGTTTGTGATCCAAGGGAGAGGAACTTGGACGGCGGGGAGACGTAGGGTGATGATTCTAAGGGAAGGGTGAGGAAGGTGAGGAAGGTATTGAATGTCTGGTGGGAAGGTCAAGTACGCACCCATCACGGGGAACTTCGACATCGTTACCATCCAATTCGTTTGTCTACAGTGAGATTATCGGACTCGTTGACCTACTTAATTGCATCACAACATTTCACGTCGATTAAACGAATGCTCAATATTTCGTTTGAAAAATTCTACTCGATGCTACAAGTTCTGTAACAGCGCGTAGTATTAAATCAAGCCTCCAATATTAGCATGTCTTGTGCCAGTGAAGACTCGCAACATATCAGGCTGCAGGTATCGTTAATAAAGAACATCGGTTAATTGACTTCAACTAACCTTGGAATCGATATGCTCTGATCACTTTCTTTAACACATAATTTGTCTGATTGCTCTGAATGCATCTGCGTTGTATGAAAGCATATTGAGGTTGTTGAAAAAAACTTACCTTAAGTCTACAGAAGTCAAATATAGCGGTGTTCGACTATACGAGCGAGGATTCAGACAGATCGTGCGATATATTGTAGTGGATCACTACATTTCATATCAAGTCCAATAAAATAAGTGATAAAACAAGAGGAGAAATAACATAGAGCAAATCCAAACGTACAACCAATTGATGCGCAACACCAATACAAATGTGAGAGTTACGGTAGACCTATGACTTCGACCAGGAAGGAGAAAAAGTTACAAACCGGCAGTACAATTACAACTGAGAGTGTTGCAGGATGTCAGAGGCATCAGAAGGAGCAGATGAAGTCGAGAACCAATCATTGAACCAATCATTGTGCAGATGTGTTTCATACATCGTAGCCTTCCCCGAAGACGTACCTATAACCATTACATTAGTGTGATAAAACTGATCAAATGCTGCATACGCACCATCATCAGTGAACTCCAACTCAGCATTGAGTGCAATAGCTTCAGAAAACATGTCTACCTCCGCCTGTGCCCGCTGCTTCTTCAAATCCAAGATATGGAAAACAGACATAAGCTCATCTGGTGTTTTGTCCTCCTTTCGCGTGAACGCGTTGCTCGTATCGGTGGGTAGGGGCTCGTCGGTTTTGGCGTAAGATGCGATCATATATGTACCCAATTTGACGTTATCGATCCATGCATTTGTCAAACGAGGCAGAGAGAGAAGTTGGTCGTCGTGCTGCATAGCCTGTCAGGACACTGGGACCCTCAGAATATAACCACTCACCCTTAGGGGGTATTGATGACGACGAGGAGACTCAGGGGTTATTTGGCTGACGTCAGAACCTACTTCCATAGTGTCTTGAAAAGGCGATGACATAATTAGCCATGCGAGGCATTTGTCCTGGGTTTCCTTTGTAGGCTGAAAGCGCTTGCAATTGAGCGAACTAGGAGTTTGGTATGCTCCAGTGTAGGAAGTGTTCACTGGAGGCAGCAATTTTGGGGCAATTGCTGGGGATATACTTAGCAGTGGACATAAGAATTTCAACTTGGTATAGCTCACACGGCTGACCTCTAGTGTTCATCAATTCACACAAGTTCACAATAGCTGTACTAAATAATGAGATTTCTGTTTGAGCACGATGCATCCTTTCCTCCATAAAACAACGCCCTCCTTGCGGAGGGAATACCGAGGGATTCGTCTCTGCTTGCTGGAGTTGGATCTGTTTCGCAACAACCCCGAGACTTACTTCAAGGAGAACCATGAGATCATGATAATCGACCAAACCAAACAGCACAGAAGCCGTGACAAAGAGGGAATATGGAAGCTGGAGGTAGAGTCATGAGCGAACAATATGAGAAATATATGCGCACTAACAATTTCGAGACCATGTGTCTGGAGCCAAGATTCTATGGCATCCTCAGTGTCCTCAATTTTGAGGAAGAGCTCTTTCGAAGGTGTAGAGGGACAGGTCATCAACATGTCAAAAGTGGGGTGCTTGAAATATATTCCCACAATTCGACCTACAATATAAACAGGTTTTTTAAAGTTTGATCGCCATGGCCCATCGTCCGCCATGGCTTATCGTCCGCCATAGCTTAGTAATAGGTTGTCCGATCAATGACAATGAAATATGAAATGCAATACCTCAATTACATAAATGAAATTTTACTGCTAACACATTTTCAAACATCACGAAACACTTTAGTCAATTGATTAGCCGCTGAACGCGAAACGGCCCAGGCAGGAACAGCGTGATATTGAAAATACAAGTGAGCACGGGGAAGATATTCAAAGCAAATATACTTCTCATGTGCGGGCAACTCGTACAACATCATGCACACTGCATGACAAATTCCTTTAGTTAGTAAATAAAATTTGACTCTTAAAATATCGAAACTAACGCGATATCACACAACAAGGCCATGCAGGTCATAAACGCGGGGTGTCCTGGGTCTGAGTCCAGTGGCAAGATTATGTTGAGTGTTTCAACGGCCTCGTCATAAATCGTGCTTGCAGGTGGATAGAATGGCTGATCAAAGGTAGCACCGGGAATTTGGGCCACAACGCTCTCTAGCTTTCGAAAGAGGGACACGTAACACTAGTTTGACGAGACAGTTTTAAAAACAAAAAACACGCGGATTAGATACAACTTACAAGAGACTCTATGAAGGCTAGAGTTTCCATGGGTAGGACAGAAGTATGCCTAAACACTGCGGGCTCAAGATCAGCCATGATCATCGGTAAGCCAGGGGTTGTGGCAACGGTAGCAGCGGCCGATATGGTCACCCTAAACGCAGTGTGCCATAGGATAGACTTGATACACCTGGTGCGGAAGATCCAAACCAATCCGTTTTGCTGCATAGCACAATAAGGATTTGACAACAGAGAATTTTAGAACACTGACATCGAATGGAAGACGTGAAGACTGTGGTCGCATGAAGTGGCTTAGCAGATGCTCAAGCCTAGCTTTGAGCAGGGTACTGAAAATATCGTGTAGCCCAAAGCCTGCTCGAGCATGATTGATTGTCTGAAAGGCCACATGCCTTGAATCGTGCATAAATGTGGATACTCACGGGCCTGCCTATTTGAGGTGAGATAAGTTATAAAAACGAGGAAGAAAACATACCATCACGAGGATATCGTTCTCACTTATGATCCTACCATCGCTAGTGGAAACTACTGGAAAAAATGAGTACGCGCATTACATGAATGAATGAACTCCTGACCTTGTTCCAACTCCACGGCACTTATATTGGCACGAAGGAGACTCTCAGTGAAAAGGCGGTGTATCAAGGCAGCTTTTGTCTCGAGTGGAGCCGTGGTGATAAAATGAGGGTTCCCGGTTTCGCCTCTACAAATCGCCAATCTAATCAAAAGCCGCAGATAGGACAAGACCAGCCTCCACTTTGAGTATTTTAGCATTACACCCGTCAAGTGGTCGGCATCTGTGGATGTAGCAGTGGCGATGGGGATAACAGGCGCAGGCGCGGACTCGGAGTTGTGGTGAGAATCAGAATGAGCAGAATAAGGTCCTCCATAATTGGGATGGGCGCTGAGACTACCATCGTTTTCCGATGTCACATGGGCATTGGACATTATCCAAGAACCGAAGATTGAAGCATTGTTTGCCGATGCAGACGAAAAGACATCAGACATGCCACAGTGACCAGAAAATTGGAAGACGGGCATGTTGTACCCTGACGGATAGTCGGCCCAATGAATGATGGTATGATAATTAGCTAAATCAACCTATGATGTTGTTAAGGGAGATAACACAAAAATTGCAAGGTGAACTTACCCGGCCATCATAAACGACCTGTATTTTCCTGTCGTGGCCCTGCCTAGTCCACAGGGCAGGCAAATCTAAGATTGCAGTGGGAAGAGCATTCTACAAGATTGATCAGTGGGACGGCAAGACATAGCACAGATTCAACGTACCTCTAGAATGTAGACCAGGACCTCAGTGCCTTCTGCTTCAAGTGAAGCAGTGTGAACACATCCAGTTTCCATATAGGCAGTGAGTTTGATACGATGATGTACCTATAGCGCCAATCAATAGTGTATAATGCCCGAAAAAAAAAACCGCACGGCGTCGAGAGTTGATGGTGAGCACTGCGTGCTATAGTGAGACGCTGAAAAAATTCCGAAGAAATAGAGATACTCACATACAATGCGTACACTACGGGCTCCAGCCTGATCGCAATGTACCCAACGAAGGACAAGGTATCAGTCGTACCCGCAAGAGTTCCCTGAAAAAAACTGCATTAGCGACGTGTAGCTTACAAGGCAGGAACGAAGTACATTCAAGGGCAACACCAAAGGCATCATCTCATTGTACATATAGCATGTAACGCCTTGACGGATTGTAGCACTTGTGGTTGCATGATATCCTGAAGAGAAAGACATTGTTGTTAGATATTGGGACAAAAGGCCACACTTTTGAAGGTGGCTACATACCTCCTTCAGACCTATCAAACATGCCATCGCACCGCCATCTAAGCTATTACGTGCAGCAAGCTTAAATGTGTCATATGACATTCCGCCATCGCAGCGCCAAAGGCAATCAAGGTTATTACGTATATAATAGCGACCCCAAAAATATTTTTACAAGGATTTTTACAACGTAGCGAACAAGATTTAATTCTCATAATCTAATTCCAATTTGCTATCGTACATCTCACCAAAGTGGTTTAATGACTCATTGCTGACACTGAAGCGCTGCTCGAGAGTGATTCCACCCGTGGCAACATCATCTTCACGTTCTTCATTGTCATTGTCATCTTCGTATTCTTCATATTCTTCTTCATCTCCATTTTCTGCAGGGTGCTGAACGTCTGCACTGCCTTCTCGTGGCCTGACGTGCGTGGAGCGATAGTGGGAGTAAACATGTCCCACTCCAAGACTGAAGTGAAAGCGCATTAACATGTCGCGATCGACAAACCTGACATCGTGAGCTCGGTGGTGATTACTTATGATTATGCCTGAAACTTACCAATTGACATAATATTCACGCCAATCATCCTTATCCCCCGCACATCCCGACACCCCCAATCCGTCAGGGTGTTTCCTGCCCTTGGCGAAAGCAGGTATGATGTGGCAGCCCCTTAGTACATCCGCTGGATCCATGAAGCTGAATGAGGATTCGTCGTCCATAGGCAGAAATCTAAGTCGATCGAGGGTGGAGGTATCCCAGGAGGAGACTTGCTCCATGGGCTCATACCAACGACACCATAGAAACTCTATTCGTACTGGGGTGAAGTCGACCATACCGGTTCCGATGTAGATTACATTCACATGATAAACACCGAGTACCTTACCGTAAATAAATTTATGACTGTCGTCGTTGCCCATATCATTGTCACCGCGGAGAGCCATCACATTGCAGTGTGAAGTTCGTAGGTTGATGACATCTTGAGCTCAGTGAACATCGTATGTCGTATAATTGAACCTGGCGATGTTATGATGGTACATACGATCGTCCTTGATAATAATCGTATTGGTGTCGCACACTTCTCTCGAAGATGGCACATCGGTGGAATTGTGAATTCACTGCAATAAATGTTCCTTCAGCTTGAAATGGAAATTCTGTAGGCAAGAGTTAGTGCGCGGTGTAGTGAAGGCTGATTTGGCTAACCTTGATCGCCGGATCACCTGAATGGCTGCTCAGGTACGTGCCTATGTGCACAGGGTACTTCTGTGTCATGCCAATGTGGTGGTGAGCGACTGGGCTGGTCGCTAATTCAATGATTTCCACATGTGGACGATGTACTATTTTGTTGCTGATACGACGGATACGGGCCTGACGACGTTCAATGCGCGTCAGCTGCTTCACAAATGACTTGTGATCCGTCCGACGATATCTAGCCTTGGGAGAACGGTGTTCGAGTTCACCCTGGATAGAGTCAGCGGGTGGAGTTTGGAGTCACACATCATAGGACTTACTGGTTCAGAGCTATACAAATTGGACGTGCCATACTGGCATATCATAGAAACATAGTCGCCCAAAGCGTGAAACTTGTAAGTTTGAAAGTTGAATACCTTCTTGCGGTGCATGTCCTTGGGTGATCCAGCTGACTGCGCCGCCTGCTCCTTTAATGAGCTGCTTTGTTTACCCTCCTGCCCTCCCACCTGTTTTGCTGCTCGCTTTGCGTGGCATCGGGTACGAGCCTCGACTTCCTGACGAAGTTCTTGTGTGTTGTAAGCGGAACAAACTTGAGCCTTGAAATTGCGAAACTGGTCGCCGACTGCCGAAGTAACTTGATCCATGATGTTGATCGTTAAATCAGAGTGCATCCGAAGCTTAGCCAGTCTGTGCCAATGCGCCATAGTAAATAGCAGCCGTAAAACAGTCGTATTGTGCAGTTCGGGGAGAAGACCATCGAAGACAGGGATAGAGCACTTAAGATCGCATCAGTGCCCATCCAACTTCAGTAGACAATCCATACCTGGAGGAGGTCTTTGAAGTTTCGGGCTGCCATGCGTGTCATGTCCGAAGCGTTGGCCGAAAATCGTTGGATAGTTGCTGGGCCAAACGTAGGTGTTTGCCTGTATCTTGTAGTGGAGAGGTCAGCTAGATGGGTGACGTCAAATAATGTAATGTACCTTTGGTCCAATTTGTTAATCAGACTCTTGTCCTCCGCTGTAAGAATTCGTAATAGATGAACGAAAAGCATTTTCCAAACCCCAAGCTCAAACTCATGCAAGAGGTCTACCACAAGCGCGCGGAAAATATTAAACCAAAAGTAGCAAGGCGATCGGAAAATGTGTTCTGTAGGTTGAATAGTTATAATTAGTGATAGAAGTCAAAGCCTCACCGAGGTAGGGACCCAGGAATGTGGCTTCAAAAGGTGTTCTACTGCTGCACTCCCAACACCAAGGTCCTTTTCATAGATTAATTTCTGTGCAGAGCTTACCACAAGTCTTCGTCTATCATCATTGCGTTCCAGTGTCTCGCATTGTCGCCTGTCCAGAGGTCTTCCCATATTATGTATGAGCTCCTTTGGTATAAGGTAATGTGGACATGGACAACCTCCAAGATTTCGAACGGTGGCAATAAGTACTCTAGTCAAGTCAGGACAATTTCTAGACGTGTAAGATATGAAATTCACGTACTTCTCAGGATAGTCTGCTGAGTAGGTAAAGATCCTGGGGTAGAATCTGCGCGTGATGCCATCACAACAATGAATCACAATTCCATGCTCATATGCATCCAGGAATTCATCATCCAATAGAATATTCCACTGCTCGTGAAACAGTTCCCTGTGACAATGGGTTGTGCAGTCGCCGCTCATGCCTCTGCCACATGTAAAGTCCTTGAACGAGTCTGAAAGCTGGCAAAGAAGGTTTGGTATTCATTTGAGACGAAAGGCTTACCGTCTCGAAGTACGTGACGTGGTTGCTCAAGTTGCACGACGGTTTGCAGCGGCGGTACTTTGACTCATTACCAAAATACATGTAGGTGGGCCAAAGCTTAGTGTTGCCAAATGAAGTCAATTGCGTGGCGTCAGACCAGAACATCAGAGTGGCCACTACTCGAGGGAGGTCACAGCCAGGTTCCCTAGGCATTTCTTGTAGTTTGGCGTGTGCATCATGGAACACTGGGGACGTGAATAAGTCTCCATATATAGGGACTTCAGCGTCAAGGTGAGGAGGATTCCAAGACAGCTTGTACGGCTCGTAGTGAAATAATTTATTATCTCAGGCGTTGGTTAGTTTTTCCCGTATGACAGTAACAAGGGAGCGATGATACAGATCAGCGGCTCGAAAGACGCGAGGCCCTGGAATTTCAGATGTGCAGGAAAAGGGCACTTCGATGGAAACAGGCGTCCTTTTCCAACCAGCATCTTCATCTTCCCATTCTTCCCCGTCTTCCTCATCGTACTCGTTTGCACCGAGTTTGGAATTGATTTCCTTCCAATTCGTGGAGCTCACATCGGCAGCATTGAAGGTCTTGTCTCCTATGATCTCCACCAGCTGTGTGTATTCCCCTTGCGACTTCTGTACCCCTCGATTCCAGTACCAATCACCGAGTTGAAATGAAGAACAGTTGGGATAAGGGAAGTACGGAGAATCGTTAGCCACAGGGGCGGGCAAGTCAGGTTCTTCTTCGTTGGCCATGCGGCTATCAGGAATAGAGGAGAGATCTGCCATGGTGACATACTCTTCTGGATCATGGGACGGAGGTGTAGATGAGAAATATTGGCGCACTAGCCCGAAAATGTTTGGGGGCGTGCGGAACGTAGCGCGTGATGGTAAGGATGGGGTTGCATGTGATGCCACTACTTGACCGACGGATGGGGGAGGTAGTTCGCGAACATCCAAGGGTACAGTGGGTGGAGGCTGAGGTAGGATGTCTCTGAATCGCTTGGGCAGTTGACGATTCTGCCGTCTCGGTCGGCGTTGTGCCAAGCTCATATCTTCTCCATCAATTTCCCCTATTTCACAGTCAGCCTCTGTGAGAGGGGCTGATGGGGAGTTGGGTGGAGGAGCACTAGCAACCCTGGGCTGTTGAGACACCTCCCCTGAAGGCAGGTGGAGGGCGGGCGAATTTGACAATGGAATAGCCGAGTCGATAACTCCCACAGGACCATCCTCAGCGGAGTAAGTGCGCAATTTTTTCCTGCGGCTTGCGAACTCCTTGAAAGAAGATATAGCTGACGACAGATGCTTCTTGGTATGAGTGCATGAGCGCTGGTGCTGACTGAAGTAGTTCTGCCCTGTGAAAGTGCGTTTGCAGACACACATGTAAATGGACGTCGACATGGAAAGCATGGCCAATGCAGAGTCTCAACGGAGATATTAATAGGCGAACAGTGGGATGGCGGCCGAAGAGCGGGGAATGGCGAGATTTGGTGATGGCGGAATGGCAAGATTTCGCGATGGCGGTATGGCAAGATTTGGTGATGGTGGAATAGCAGCTGAATGACGGAATATTGGGAATGGAAGCATGTAGCGGTAGCACCATGTAGCTATCTATATAACGCTGAAAATACGAATGTAGTTATATTCTATCTGAATCCTGAAATGTCCGCACCGTCTTCTCCATGTTCTGGATGCTCAACGCTATCCACGGAATTCGATTTTAAAGCCGATCCCAAGGTTGTGGAGATGCTAGTAAGCATCATAACTTGCCGCCATGGGATACTTCATTACCACAGCCAAACAAGAGAACTAACAATGTTTCAATGGTGAATCACTTGATTTATAAAAAGATATTCTTTACTCACATGTAGTACGCATGCTACAAGCCAACCGACCGATACAGATATAAAATCCACCCTCGCCGATTTCAGGCTTATCGCGAGGCACATGTGTTTCGCTACCCGTGCTGTCTTTGCGCAACGTCTGACAAATATGTCGAGACATCCATATTTCCGCGCCGTACAGGGATCTGCGAAGGGGAGTATGTTGCTGAGTGTGCGACCAGCAGTTGCGGGTACATGCGTAAGTGATTTTATTTCCATAATAAGGACATATGTACTTACCTTTTCGATTAGTGAATATCGAGAAATTCGTTGGGAAGGCCTATGTACCTTCAGCATATTATCCTGTGAGATATTTTTAGAGACGTGTAGATCCCCATATGCTATCTGAGGAAGTGTTGGGATGGATTGTTGATAGTTGCATGATTCGTAGTAGAATAAACCTTATTGTTAGTTGAGCCTGTAGCAATTAATCATTGTCAGACATTGACTTGTACATGCAGCGCAAGTTATCTCACCGACAACCTGGCCTGGCGTGCTTCGCGTAATCCTATTAGTGCAAGGCACACAGTTCCATTTCATAATTTCACACAATCTGAACTGGAAATAGACGCTCGTGAATCCGTTTGTAATGGTAGCCTGAGTAACCTACATGGTGAACGCAACCGAACGACTGTGATTTCATTGAAGTTGAAGTCGGGAGCGCGCCGCACCCAATGCTATACCGAACGCCAACATGACTTTATTATCAATGCTGTCTTTTACAAGGCTACATTATGGTATAGTACTTCGCGCATATATGATTCAGTGTTCAGGAAAACAAAAAATGAAGAGTGAGAGACCCTGGGACTTATATAGTGATTGACTATAGGATTAAAACCCAGCCGGCAACACACGAAACAGCCACAGTGATACAATACCGTCACAATACAATACGGGCGTTGCCGGCTGGGTTTGAACATGTAGTCATTCAGTATTTCAACCGTGTCCTCACACGTTTGTCCTGTTTGACCCTTCTGTAAGGCGAAGTTGCACTATATGTTTATACTTACTAGCCATGTGATTATGGAGAGTACTGTTACTTTATATTTAGTGATGATGTAGTAATGTGAGTCAGTAGAGTAGTAATTCAGATTCGTGCGCCGACTCTTCAGTCTCAGAGAGTCTTGGAGAATGGACTTCACTATCTACATGTTTTTACCACGGTGCGCCTTGAATTGCTGTGTACTTTTACTTGGGCAGGACTTAACGATATCAGCAGAAAAATATTTGCTTATACAATAATTGTTGCGCCGTTGGTCCACAAATTCACATCCAGGACAATGCTGCTGTGTCGGGGGTTCTACAACAATCCACAAATCGCCATTGTACGTATTAGCTAATCCAAAGTAGTGATTCACTATAAATACTGATCTTGCGCATTAGCAGGTCTTCTTTCTCCTCCAACTACCTTGATCACTTACTATACAATAGATAGCACGTAGACTTATTTTATCATAGTACGTGAAAGCTTGAGTTTGTCGTCACTCTAAATGATTTATCATATGATGCAGAATCATGTCCAAACGTGCAGGATCCAGTGGTGGTGAACCAACGCCAAAGCGTCACAAAGGTGAGGCATAATTGAATATTGTCAACATTGTCATTGACGAGCGCGATACAGGAAACCAAGCAATACCATCGGCACTATATGATAATGGTGCATGGACAATTCTGCAGCAATTCCTCACTACGTCCATGTCTTTATCTGAGATGGACGACACGCTTGTAGCGTATCTTGGTGATCGATACTCTGCAGATGACTGGGTGGAGCCCCGACGTCTGTTATTCTCCGGTGATGCAGACAATGACGAATCCTTAAGGAACCTCTCAGTACTATGGAAAACATACATACCGGATCCTCCGGAAAAATCTTCCGTGCACATGTCTGCATCGAGGAAGCACGCCCGCTTGCCAAGTTCACGTGTTAGAAAATCGCACAAGCCATCCGATGTAAGTGGGTTTTGTATTTTTTAACTTCATAGCTAAATGAATATAGGCTGTAAGAATGTTTATCTCACATGAGGCCGAGGTTGGGGATGAAGAGGAGGAGGAGGAGGAGGAGGAGGAGGAGGAGGAGGAGGAGGAGGAGGAGGAGGAGGAGGAGGAGGAGGGGTATGGGGATGGAACGTCCGTGCAGTCGCCGAAGGTTACGTGCTTACCAGGACCGTCGGCGAAACAGAGGCTGGCTGTAACCTTTGACGAAATGGCCGCTCGTATTGAAAAGAATCCAGCCAGTTCATCAAAAAGTCTCCAGGCTCCCAGCCACAGAGCAATCGAAAGCAGGATGTATCTCCTTCACGTTCAAAGTAGGTTTTTACTGAGTTCACATAGTAAATCACTCAACACATTGCAGGAGCTGTTACTGAATACATCGCTGAACACCTTCGGAGGAAACAATTTCCCGTTACTGTGTCAGCTTGGCTCGCAGGCCAGCTTTACGTTGTGGCAGACAGCCCCAAATCCATCGCAGACACACTGCCTTCCTCGCTTTATCACGCTGTCAAACAGTATCTTCGCATCACGGAAGAAGAACGTGAAGCTGTCGAGCGCTTGCAAGTCGTGCTTCCTAACCCAGCGTGGGTGAAGATTAAGCACGGCAAACACAAGGGCTACATTGGCAGAATCTTCAAGTCTGGAAAGGATTTTGTCGAAGTCTTATGTCCTCCATGCGATTTTCCTTATCCAATGCCTCGAGGGTGTCGAGCACTTGTCGAACGATCTCGTCTTCCGAAGAACAACTCGGTGTCCGACATTATTCTCAATGATGAAGTAGTAGGATGGACATACAAAGGTGAAAGCTACTACAAGGGGCTCTTACTGAAAAAATTTCGCCGCGATCATCTGGAACTTCTGGCCTCCCCTCACGCTGACGCCATCCAACTACATCTGGAATCGGGATGGGACACAGCCTTTTTGAAGAAAACTATTATTGAGTTTTCGATGCAATTTTTACGCGCGGGTGACTGGGCCAGGGTTACAAATGGAGCTCTTCGTGGAGAGCTCGGTAGGGTCATTTCGACTGACCATGCTTGTGGCTCCGTGGGCTTGGAAATCGCTTTCGACGGGCATCCAGATGAAATAGAACTTTGTCTCCAGGACATAGAACGTGTCTTTCGGGTCAGCGACACCGTTAGAGTCGTAGCCGGTTCATACTTAGGCTTAGAAGGATACGTCCTCAAAATGTGTGGTGAAACGTTTCATGTGTGTCAAGAGGTCTCTAAAGAAGTGGTAAATCTATGGTGCCATTAAAATCATTGCAGGACTAACACTTTGCACAGGTGGAAGTCTCAAAGTATTACTTGGATCAGCGTCCTTTGAGGCACACAATTAACTCACAGCTGCCGGTGCAGCAACATCTGGCGCCTCCCCCCGAATCTGACTCTATCGAAATCGGGGATTTAATACAAGTCCTGGATGGGGAGCACATTGGGAAACACAGCGTTGTTGACTGGATCTCCAAGGGAGAAAGTAAACTCTGGTTCCGAGATATCATTACCCCTGATGACACGGAGTCCGGACTTTCGAGTATCTTAGTTCCTACATCATTGGTTCAGCGAACAGACCTCGCCCAGACAATCCAATACACTCGAGAAAGAGGTTATGATGTTAGACCTGGCGACACTGTGACTGTCACCCGCGGGCCTAAGTACGGTGCAACAGGGGTCGTGCAGAGTGTAGATTTTCCAAACGCTAACTTAACCTTGCTATGCAATGGTGACTGTTCGCTGGTAAGTAACATTCACCTCGATTCAAACATCTCTGACTTGTCACAGATCAATGTTAAAATCAGATTCACCATCAAACTACATAACGCCAGTTTGGATTCTTTCAAGAAGAATATTGGCCAGGAAGTTTTTGTAATTGGGGGTGACCGGAAGGGCTACCGAGCCACACTTTATGGTCTTGCCCCCCAGACTTGCACAGTTGCTGTGCATGGACAGCAGCACACCAATGTCAAACTCCACGATGTCGTTACCAGGTGAGCAGCGCTGCACATTGTGGTGCTTTGAAGGCTGACGATTGTTTAGGTACGGAATGAGGTTAAACGGCATGGTGCTTGAAGGCCCAGAGATGATTGCGTTCTGCGACATGTGGAAAAGATCTTTCTTGGCGCCACCAGCCCAAAGCATCACACCCCCTGTCGAAATGGCTCCCTCTAACTCCCCCACATCCATCACAGACGACGGTCCCTCATCATCTAACGCGTGGGCTCCCTGGTCCGCGAGCCCTGGGGAGGTTGATAGGTCGCATGACCCTTCATCAAGTACCATCAATCCTATCTCATCGACCCCCGATCCTTGGACTGTCGATAAACAGCAGAGCATTGACGCCGATGCGGAGAAACTATCAGATTGCGGTAAGCCCTCACTCAAGGCATCATGAAGTGTACTCAGTTTATTATAGGTCCGCTATCTTGGTTGATGACCAAGGAGTTTTTTTCGAAGCTCTTTAAATATCACGTGGTATTGAAGGTATCACCAAGCTTTATGGGAGGCAGGTTGAGCAAGTGATTTGTATTCACCGCTTCTCCTGACCCTTTCTGCAGTGAGAATGGGCCCGCGCCCAGTGGTTGCATCGCAGCATTCTGCACATCCAATGGTGCAGGCGCCGCAATCAAACACTACCATATCCCCGCGAGTGACCTGAGCCCAGCTTCTCCGCGTAAGAAAAACCAACATGTACTTATTCTGAATGGGGAGCATCGCGGGCTTATCCAAACTATAGTGTCTTGTTACAACAAGGACGGTGTAGTTAAGATTATGATCACCCCTACGGTTACCATAACACTTCGGTTCGATCAGATATGTCTGATTGAACCTGTTAAAAACTTGTCACAATAGGCTATGTACAGTACTATAGAAACATATATTGTTATATCCCAAGAAGAAATTACCCGTGGTACACTCCCTCCGGTCAGCTGCAATGTAAAAACGCGCAATAACATAGAATGATTATGATGGACGCTATAGCATCCAAGCCACAGGCTATACGTGCTTTAATCCTTTATAATATAAATTTACAGATTCGGTTTCGACGCCCTACGTTCCAGGTGGTCCTGGTTATTGTGACAGGGGTCTCCATGGAGGTCCGCTGAACGCCGGCTGAGTTTCAATATACAGTCATTCACTATATCAGCATCTTCTTTACCTTCCACTTACTCTTTCTGACTTTGTACGTTATTTTTGTGTTAACACTATTAGCCCTTTCCTTTGCCTCTAGCCGCACTACACTTTATATTTTCTTACTTTACTTTCAACGATTCCCTTACGTAAAATGTCGTTGTAGCATAGTGTATGTTCGTGTAGTGAGTTATATCAGTCAGTTGCATGACTGCCCAACGTCACCGTCATTTTCGTGACGGTAAACCCGCTCAATGTGTCAAAATCGTTAAATGAGCCAGCCCACTGGGCCACCGTCCGTTCGACATCATGATGGTAAGCTTATAACTTGAATCGTCAACACAATTTTAATTCAGACTTGATATCAGACACGACCGTGCAGTCGCGGGCCACAGCGATATACTCTAAGCGGCCACCATCTCAATAGGTAATCCTGGAACCTCCACCAGACATTGTCTTCTCACAGGTGCCTTTGCTTCTCTTGCAAATGATACGCCCAGACTCACAAATCACAGCTATGCTCTCCCCTACATCATCCAACGATCACTCCAGAAACAATTTGGGCGAAGCGGCACCCTCTGGAATCTGATCAAGGTCGGGTACATAAGTTCCATATGGCATGTGAAGTTCGAGGTTCTCGGCGCGGTGGTAATCTTCGATCCACCTGTACCTGTACGTCTTCATCCGTTCTGAAAGGTAGGCAATATTATCTTCTGCGCTCCTCAGCTGTTCCTTGACGCGACGCAGCTCATCTTCTAACTCGCTTTTGGACTCCTCGTCAGCGTCTACGTGATTTAGTTTCAAACCCGTCATATTTCCCGTCTCCTGAGGCATTGAATCTCACATATTGTCTGCGTTCCCGAATGGACCAATAGCTTGATCTGCCTACATGGTAAATCTGTTTCCTTGTTCTCGGCAATGCTTGATTACTCACTTGCAATCATCACTGCGTAGCTCCTCTACATGAGAGGATAGTTGGAACCTTAAGGTAATTATATGAGTCTGCTGCTGCCTGCTCATACTAAACTAACTTACTTTATTGTGACATTGTTTCCAACGCGGACACTTGGTCGAAAATGCTTTCGAGAGTGCGACTCGGGCATGTGAGGTTCAAATGATGTGATGACTACTGTGACAGTGCTGTGGAATTAAATATTGGGTGCAAAGATGACAATGTTGCCTGGTGAGGTAATGCGCCATTTAATATTCATGGCACTAAGATGGCGAGGTTTTTTTTTAGTTACGATATCTGTGGCGCCTCGATGGCCAGGCTCTTTTTCAGGTACAATACCTATGGCGGTCAGATGGCGAGGCTTTCTTTGCCACGTGTAATTGGACGTTCGGAGGTATAAAGAGCTGTATTTACTATTGGTACTACATTCCCAGTTCAACTTATTATGAGTCGCGACGAGAACAATCCCTCTCCTGGCGATGCTTCGCACAAGTGTAGCGGTTCAGCCCTTCGTCTGGGCCCGCGCAAAAAGGCATAAGTGTTCTTGCAAACAGTGAAACAGTTAACCTTACTGGTCCTCATCATCAGAATATCATCGAATCCTCTTGTTCTTCATGGTCGACACTTTGGTCGGACGGTGTTTGCCCTATGTAACTATCCTTCTCTTTTGACTGCCGGTATACTCCGACTAGAAGAACTGCAAGACTCCCCCATAGAAGATTATCCAGCGGAGTGAGTACTGTGACACTTGCATGTCACCATGACTTACGACAACTTTCAATGGCAGTGTTCGGCAGGAACACAGGGTGTTCATGGAACTAATAAATTCGTATCCTGGTCTGATAGATCGTTTGACGAATAGCGGAGAGGAGGATATTATTCACATGGGAGAATTGGCAAGTTTTTTTTTTCGAAGTTCGTCATACTTACTGTTTGCAGCTTGGTAAGGGAGCCTCTGGTGCACGAGGCGACGACACAAAAACCCTTAAATCCACTGTCCTCAAATGGCTTGTCCCCAGAGGACAAGCAGTCATACCACCCCTCTCCCGCAATATCAAATCCGATCGTGGGTTTAACCACGAAGTCACTGGTGCTTTACTCTGCCCTGCAGGTCTTGACTGGTCAAATGCGGAGTAAGTTTTTCAACTATCAAATTAATCAACCGCCATCACACTACCCAGAACTAAGCAGAATCTCAAGAGCGGCGAAATTGCCGTTCGTGGTGACCAGTGGCCGATTTTTTTATATGCTAGGTCTGAATATGATGTCGAAAATCCATGGAAGGGTTTGTTGAGGAGCAAAATTCTCGTTTTCGTGAGCTCATTTCAGTGGCGATAAAGTTCTCATTCCAAAAACTTTCACTTCATAGGGTTTCAAACACGTCTTCACGTCTCTGAGCTCGGTCTATAAAGAGCCAAAGGCTACACGATCCGGTAATGCTTACCTTCACGGTATGAAATCTGTTACCAAAGGTTCCCTAGCTTATATTGCTACGCAGGTGTGCAAATTTAATTATACATGCCTGCTCCTGCTGATTGTTTCCTCAGGTCCGGTTTGCGTTGAGTTCGTTGTCAGTATTTTCACGCACCGACACGGTCACAGACTCGGAAATTTTTTACCATAGCATCCTTGATTTGTTGGACGATCCTGATGAAGATGAGGAAGTGACTGACCTGTTGACGTGGTGGACGCGGTTCGTAATGCACTTGATTAACTTTTAAGCTCTCAGTTAACGCCTTTCATAGTCGTGTATTTCCTAACTCTTGTTCGCAGCGCACTATCAGCAAAAATAGTGCATTGTCGAAGATTCGGGCAAGACGCGCTGCCTTGCAAGAACGAGCTGCTACTTCCGATTGATTCTTTATCTTAGTAATAGTAATAGTACTGTCTGTAGGGCCTATGTATCCTAATGCAATTAATTTGGGAATCCATCTATATGAAGCTATTTAAGTGTGATCAAAATACAATGTCAGACGTCGATCCAGTGTCACTGATGGTAGCTTGCACCATCGGAAGCTGTCCATGTAATAGCAGGCACACTTGGTTGAAGACCAGCATCTTGATAGGACTTGATAACTCAGTGCCAGAGCTCCGTTTAATGTTGTTGAAGGTAACTTACACCATAGGAAGCTGCCCATGTAATAGTAGACGTGCCCAGTTGAACAACAGCAGCTTGAAGGGGCATGATAACCCGACATCATCCCCTGGCACACTGTCACTAATTGTGGCTCCTGCCTTCAGAATCTCCCCCTATAATAGTAGACATGCTTGATAGAACATCACCATCATGACATGTTATCATAACTCACTATCATCCCCTGGCACACTGCCAGTAATTGTGACTCCTGCCATCAAAAGCTATCTATCTAAGACTAGATATGCTTGGTTGAAAAATAGCATCTTGATGGGGTGTGACAACTGAATATCATTCCCTGGAAAATTGTCAATGATTGTAGCTTCCACCATCAGAATCTGCCCTTATGACACTAGACATGTTTGATAGAACATCACCATCTTGATAGGGAGTAATAACTCAATATCATTTCCTGACACACTGTCAGTGATTGTAGCTTCTGCCATCAGAAGCTGCCCATCTAAAGCCAGACATACTCAGTTGAAGAATAGCATTTTGATAGAGCATGATAACTCAATACCATCCCCTGGCACTATGTCAGTGATTGTAACATCTATCATTGGAAGCTACCTATGCAGTAATATATATGTATGGCAATAATACTCCACTATGTTAGTAGATTACAATGTGGTACCATAGGCCTGTCAATATTATAGCTTTGGGAGATCCCACCAGTGTAGTCTACCTATCTATTCCTTTGTCATATGATCTGCAATTGTGATAGATATTTTTAATATTGTATATTAGATAAAGCTAGCCAAATCTTTGTCATACTCAAGTTGAATGCCTGATGTACAAGCTAGCAGTGTAGGCCTGGCTTTGCCTGGCCTAGTGAGGGCTCGGCTTGAGGGCCTGAGGGTCTGCCCGGCATATCACTAAAATTTTAATTTACCTCCTCTACACGGAGAATGAGGAAGAATGGGAACTCACTTGAAATGGCTATCATTTGAAACAAAGTTGTCTTGTACTAGTACTGCTGTAGTCTCCCCGTTATGCATTTATGAAGAAAGGAAGGAATCTGTTCTCGTACTGTTGGTAACGCTAGGAAGCAATCACATTTTTTGTTGAACGCCTGCCATCATGTATGACTTTGAGATACATGAATCCTTTTAGCATCAACAGGCCTCTCTACCAACCTATGACAACAGTGTTTAGAGTTACCTCTTTCACTAACAGCTGGATGATTGATGAGTGCATCGATGAGTGTCGATCATTACGTACTACGATTGCTCTGATCGACGTGCCCAGCTCAACGTTCATCTGCAAAACGACTGAAATGAACGCTTAACTTACGCGCATTACAAACACTTACGAACACTTACGACTTCAGTAGCGAAGTCATGCGATTGGTGGAGATGTTGAACATCAATATTACACACCATATCTGGCTGATAAACTGAAGCCGAGTTCGATAAGATGTGATATGCTCAGAGATGTGATGTGATAGATACGATGGATGCAATAGCAATAGATACAATTGCTACATACCGATTAATCTGCTGTCTATACAAACTCAGTACTGAATGCATGATAACTCTCCTTGTCCGCAAAATTATTCAGAAAGAAATGCTCATAGCTTTCCGAGCATGTTGCAGAGGTCATGCTCTTGTCCACCGCCTCACCATACTCCGGTATCAATTCAACCGCATGTGTTGCATCTGTAAGTCGCACGACAGCTCCATGTCTATGGTGGTGACCATTTGCATCATGAGTGTACACGCGTTCCACGGTCCACATCATGAGTTCAGGATGGTCTTCAGGATGAGAGACAAAATGGAAATACTGGACATATAGAAGGGGGTTGGAAAGGTACGATGGCAGCTCCATGTCTGAACCTCATCGAATCGTCGTCTGAAAAATCAGTTGAACTTGCGTGACATAACTAGCTATATATGATATCAGTAGTGCTCACTCAATATACAGGGAACACACATACTTATGTTGCCATCCATGCCCGGGCCATCGATAAGAATGGTATCACAGTTGCCCAAGGGGAAATCATTGCTCGGTGGGTAGGCTTGTACTACCCTGCTTGGCATGATGACCCGTGGCTGGAAGGCCGAGTGCAGCTGCAGCCGAAACCTGTTCCACACCTGGAAGTGCCCATATTTGGGGTCCCAGCAGGTGTGCTCGTCGCTAGCCAGGGATGAACGATGAATAAAGTCGGTGAGCATGTGATCAAAGTCGGGGAGAGTGTATTTCGTGCGTATTTCAGCCGGTGACAGTGATTTATAGTCTGGGGTAACATTCAGTTGGAAAGCCGTGAGCGCATCTCCAGAAAGAATGCCCTTGAGAAAGTGGTTATGGACTGGTCTGGGACCATGAACCGACTTCACCTCGTCAGGGAGTATGCGGGAAACCCAAGAAAGTGCAGGATTAGTGATTGTGAAATCCTCATCTTCAGCGTGGATGGCATTGACCAGTGATGCTCCCCAAGAAGTCAACAACGCATATAAATCAAATATTTCCATCGACTCCTGACGATTAAGAATACGAATGCACTGCTCCGTGAAATCTTTGCTTTGTCAAGCCGCCCAGGGGAAAAGGTCCTTACAGTGCATTATGAGCAATTGCTCCGTTGTATCAGCCGAGAATTGCATCAACGTGCCCAACCTCCTGATTGTACCCTCGAAACTTTGCATTAGCTCGAGTTTTGGAATAAAGAAATCTTCTTTCATGCCTTTCTTCCCCTTTCTCGCTTCTGCAGCAATGATAGCATCCTTGAAGGTGTGAAAATCCAAAAGTGCCTGCGTCAGGGCTTGGAGTGATTGGGGTGAATGAACTGGGTGTTGTGCAAGATATGTGAAGTCTACAAGGCCGCAGATTGCACGAATAAATCTGGGTGAAACGGCACCTGCGATTGATGCAACGATAGTGCGTTGTATATCTCTATATTCACGGCCCGTCATTTGCTTGACATGCGTGATCCCTTTGGCGAAGTGGCGTGTGCCAACCCGCTTATGCTGAGCAATGTAATGGGTATCAAGCTCATAAGCTCCTACAGTCTCCTTCACCCATTTGAGCGGGTGATCAGCGAAAAATTTGAAGCAGGTATGTAGAATTTTGCCAGCGAGGAAGATGGATGGGCATGCATATATCCAATCGCGCCAGTAAGGCATGTGAACTCCAGACAGATTAAGAGCTTTGGCCACTTTCTGGAACTTGTCGAGGTCCCAGGGATCAACTGTCTTGGCAATACCGACGAGGAGTTCCAATGTATGCTTCCTGGTACGAGGGGGGTGGAGGATCCCATCACCAAAATGCTCTTGTGTTGCCATAGTCAGAGGAGATGCGTTTTTAGCAACTGCAGCGATCATGGTGGCCTCTGGCAGGTCGCATACATGAACTACAAGGGGCGTGAAAACATAACAGATAAATCTAAAAGGGTCAGGCATGAAACATCCCTCTGCTGCCGCGGCCTTGAGGTTAGCACAGACGAGGTCCATGAATTTATGCCATAGCCGTGCCTGAAGAATACTCTGATAATCTGGATGCACACGGAACTTTACGATTGGCATGTATGCAATGCAGCGCCAAGCTCGTAATGTTGCTTTAGAACGAACCTCTGAATCGATGTTACCGATGGTGATGAAAATCAGGTGCATCTCCAGTCCTTCAGTAAGTCGCGTGACAGGAGTTTTATCGGACCCCAAGATGATGGGAACCTGGGTTGCGCCAATAGGCAGGTGGTCCTAGAAAATCACAAGTCTTTCCGTGACTCAGTGAGGAACATATTAATATAGTGAACAGACCTGGATTTTCCATGCCATATCAGCGCTCATGTAATCTCCATATTCACGCTGATTACCGACACCGATGTGGTGTGGGACGAACATCATGTGGTTCGCAAAGATAGGGTCACTAAAGAGTTGCTTGACTACATCTAATGCATTGCGCCAAATGAGTTTGATGGGATAAACGGTCTTGTAGCCTGAAAACTCTATTTTGGAGACTTGCCACTCCGTAAAACAAGGAAGCGAGTCCATCCAGTCCAAGAGTTTATCCTTCGTAGTGAAAGACGGTCTTGTGTGATCGTTAAACTGTTTAAAATTAGACTTGTGCCTACAGCTTAGATGATCCTATTTACCCATTTCAACTTCAAAAACTTAGTGATTTGCGTTTGAGTGAGGTTTTCGACCAAGAACTTCCCTAATTCCCATTCACCTTCGTCGTGGAAAGGGTAGTAATGGTTGATCTTTCGCCGGTACGCATATGTATTGTCTTCCAACCTATCGAGCATGTTTTTACCAATGCCGAAGACATATCTGGAATCTTGATGACAAGCACCAGTGGTACTTGAAACAGGACTTTGATGGAATACAGGAGGGACAGGTAATTCTTGTGGTTGTGCTTCAGGTGGCCAGCAGGTAGATTGGGAATTGAGGTGCATAATAAGTGACTCAATGGACGGAAACTCTCTCAATTTGCAGTTTGGACATAACCTGCAAAGGTATGCACGCACGATCAGGCTGGCATCAGGGTTTAACAGACTACTCACATTGTAGACTTCGACGTGTGCTGCCCTGCCTGGGCTGTCAGTGATTTGCAACTGCGCAGTCTTTCAAAGTCCGCAGGATTGCGCACCTTCACTGCACCCATCAACACCTGGTGAGCTGTCTACACAGTGAGATGATGGACTTTGCACCTTTATCTCACATTTTGTCTCCCCCTCGACCAAGCAGTCCTACTCACACCAACTCCAGCAGTGCAACCCGTGTTGAACCAGCGTTCTTTGATTTTTTTCTCAAGAAAGCAGATAACTCACCCTGTTTGATGACCTCTGATATAGGACCTGGTACTGATCATTCAGGTTCTCCTCATTCCGGTTCTCCCCCAGCTCCTCTCTCCCCAGTGGATGAGGTGTCAAACTCTCCTGTAGTGAGAGAGGACTTATTGCATAGCCCTTCCCGTCGCGGAAAGCGTGAATTCACATCTCTGTCCCATCGTGGGAAGCCTGGCCACACACCTGCAATGAAAGAGAGCTTATTGCATAGCCCTTCCCCTCGTGAATCACATCACATGTCATCTCCTTCCTGTAGAAAGTGTTACGCCGCATATTCTTCTTGTCATCTGTCTTCTCAATCCCCCAACTCATCCCTTCCCCCTCGTTTGTCTTCTCCTCCAGCTTCTCCCCTTTTTGGGAAGTTTACAATGGTCTCTCTGTTGGAGCTCCATATCTCGGCTCGTGCATTAGGGCGAGAATGCTGACCAGAGTTCATGGCTGAAGACATTGCAGAGGTACATTTTAAATATCATTTTATTTGGTTTATTGTGTAATCTTACGGTAAAAGCACGAGGAGTTGATGATGAAGGGCCTCGCGGAAATGAACTTATTGACTATGTACAAATTATTCAAGGCAAGGCTTGCTGGCCGTGAAGCTGCATGCCAATGCCTTGCGGTTACAGCATGGGCAATTCAAGAGGCAAAGCACTACTTAGAGTTTTCTGAGGCGCTCAACAAGGATAGTAAAATGCGCCTCAAATATTCTGATGAAGAATTCCGAAGAGTTAGAGCTGCTCTCACCGGGCGTCACCATTCAGATATCGAGAACGATGGGAACTACCTTCAAGCTGCCTACAATGACAAATGCAACACTCTTCGTGCCATTGCTGCCCAGGCAGACGCAATGGGAAAGATTCTGGGCCTGAACGTCAAGAACGACTTACTGTCATCTAGGGGAGAATCTTCTCATCGCCCTCAATTCACTAGCTCGGCTGATCCCAGTGATTCCCATATGTCCTCCGATTTAGATGGTGACGATCACAATGGTACCATGGATTCGGACGATGACAAAGAATCTGAAGGCCATGATGCGTAGCTCCAATCACACGGCCCTTTTTTTTGTGCCCTCTTTTCCAAATCACGGTATTTAAATTTGACTGCCAGCTCGTCACTCGCTAATGAATATATCAGTAAATAGCCACATATTCAATTATGTTCGGATCGTGCCGTTCACATGTCGACTTTTTGAACACGCGCCATTCATATAGCTGCTTCTCGAACACCATGCCTTTCCCTACCGTCCATATATGTCAATAGTCTTACTTATTGCGCCAGGCCGTTCACATTCACTACATCACTTCGTGATCGGACCGCCATGCTTTTATGTATGTTTGGGTGTGTTTTATTACCTTTGTGTGTAATATCATCGAATTTGACACAATCAGTGCGCTATTGATTGTCGCCTCTCTCTTGTACTAACCACTATATGGCTAACCGTCCTTCACAACGAAAGGGCAAGGCTGCCATCCCCAAACCAGCAAGGGGGTCAGGACTAAACCCATCAGGACTTCCAGCCGCTGATCAACTCAACATTCCAGCTGAACAACCTTCTGTGCCAGCATTCAGTTTCAATCCACACGAAGACAGTATGCAGTGGCAAAGTGGGGGCCCAGGTGAGTGATTTATCAATCACGAGTATTTACAAACTAACAAGCCAAAAAAAATAGATCAACACTCTTTCCATGGACTCACGCACTACGACGACTCGCATGCATCTGGCTCTATGTCCTTCAGCACGCAATTCGCACAGCCTCAATCATCACATGAACACCATTTCACGCAGTTACAACCCCCCCACGACGACACTACTACATCCTACGACGGGTACCCTTATGACCAGGACGGATTCGGAGACACGGGGGACCGGCCATACGGCGGCCCATCCTTCACCAACCCCCAACCCAATCTGTCGCAGCCCCACTACGACGGCACCTCCCAACCTAATCTGTCACAGCCCCGCTATGACAGCACCTCTCAACCTAATCTGTCGCAGCCCCACTACGATGGCACATCCTATGATGGGTACCCTTACAACCAAGACAGATTCAGAGACACGGGGGACCAGCCATACGATGGCCCATCCTCATCCAACTTAGGAACATCCGGGGGGCCTCAAGAGGGTGCCCACGTGCACGGAACACCCTTACCAGCATGGGTCGACGAAGCCCCTGATGGAGGAGCCGCTATGATAGACCGAGGGGCGGGCTTTATGCCCCCAGCTACCAATCTAGCCCTCTTACGGCGAGGGGAGATTCCTCGAGAAGAGGTTGTCCATGTAAGTGTTTCGTTTATTGTGCTACCCTAACTAACAACTACATAGACCAAGGGGCCGGCATGTACTACGAAGAAACGCAGTACCAGGGCCAACCTACCTGCAACCCCATACTTTGTCCTGCAAGCCCCCCGCAGCACCACCGAACCGCAGACACGTGCAGCGGCGCACACGATGGCACCCCAAACACCTGTCGTCGCCGAACATTCAACGCCGACATTGAAGACGGTACGGGTGTCAAATGAAGACATCAGCGACGCTGTGAAGGGGGGGAAAGTTTTAATTGGGCAGGTGATGTTTACAAAACATGTGATGATGCAGAAGCAGAAAAAATGTGTCGCTCAATTCGAGGACACAATCAAAGACTCGACGCCTCATTGTTTGGAAGCTGATGGTGAGTTTTTCTTTAAACCATTCATATAATCATACTAATATTGTAGTTGTCATTGAAAACTTTATCACTAACGCCCATCAGAGACAAGTGTCGAACACGTTGTCGAGTATACGCGGGAAAATCGCTCAATTTGCGTGCGACGGTGTCTTTGTGTCATACAAGCTGTTTCCCCCATGAGGGAGCACCATCGCAGCAGCACAAAGGCATTGCATCGCAATGGTGAACACACTCATACGGGGCATTGATCCCCTACTCTTCATGCATGCATATTCTGTGGATGAGGTACGTCGCTCTCACACTTCTGGCGCTTCACTAACTATAAGTCTTTCAGCACGGGAATATCACCATTGACGCCAAATTTCAAAATGTGTTTATCATGGCCGGCGTTGTTTGTTTTGTGTGGCGCGAGGGCCGCGAAGCCTTTCTCGGCGCCTCGCCACTGAAGGCCATCAAATATGTGATGGCCTCAGTTGGCAGCGGTACTCACTGTGCATTGCAGGAACAGCGCTCCGCTGTTATCACCGTCGACGCTTTTGGTGGTCAACACCATGAAGAAAAATTCAAGGAGATCGTGCAAGCGTTCGATGACCTCACGGACGAAGAGAAACTCGAGTTCAAAAGTTATTTGCAGTACATGCTGGATGTTGGACCATCGCAGGCAGGCAATGGAGAGAGCTCGTCCGATTCTGAATAATATTTTACTACGTATATAGCTTGTTCGTTGTAGTATAGTGTAATCAAGATTATCATTGGATGCTCATGATCATATCAGTACTAGATGTGTTGATAATCGACGCGATACGACGAGATCTCTCGACTAACCTAAAAACGAGCACTCAGGGTGCAACATAACCAAAAACGAACGTTTACGAATGCGAGACCTGAGCTAACTACTTTCAAAACGCTCGCAAGCACTCGCAAGCGACTTTTCAACGGACCCACATTTTTAGATGTTGAAACGTTGATGGGTCAATCAAACTTCTGGTTTGGATTGTCTGAAACAAGCAAGTATCATGTCGTGTTGGCGAGGCCAGGTCCTACTAATAGCCTACCGTGACCGTCTGTTACTAGAAACACGACCTTATTAGTTTCGTCATGCGTCGTTCAACAAAGGTCCCATGTATTAGATGGGCGCCCGCACCTGGCCAGTGGCTGCACTCGGGTACATATCATCCGTTGCCACATGTGACATGTGTATGACCCGACGTAGAGGAGTTAGGCTACCGACAACTTGAAAACGGTGAATCATGCATCCGAATGTGGCGTGACTCACTAGACAAACTTGGACACATAAAGGCCTAATCAAACCAAAATCAAACGCCACAACGAGTTCGCAATTAATCCTCTTGGCTCCATCTGTTGTAATGCTCCATAGGACATGCATGGCTCCTCCACAGAATTCGTGTAGGTGCCCACAAAATGGATATTTGCACGTCTGGCTGGCTGCTACAACTGAATTAGTACCATCTGTCACCGTTCCGCACCCCATCGCAATGGACCAGTATGGATATATCAGCTTCACGGTGTCACCCGTCCGTCTCGCAGGATGTCGAGTCATATCTACCATGTCCCGATCAGTGTTGAACGTTATATCATGACGCCACCGGTCATTATCGAATACAGTCAATCGTCTGGTAGTCCCGGTTGCGGATTGCAATATTTCAACGGCCTTATCAATTAGTGGAATACTCAAACGCGGCGACACCTTGTTTAGAGTCACCTGTGTTCAACGGTCCTATCAGAATGGTTCTGCGCTATGGTGGAGGGAAGGCTCTCGTTCCATTTCTGGTGTTGTTTGGCCAGCGTTCTGTAGGATTAGTTCCAGCAGCTTTCTCGCAAATGAGTGTCTGACTTTCATTCTAGTCCTCCTGTTTGTCGGCACAGAATATCCACGGACCTACAATGCTAGCGATCTCTATGTCGAAACTGCGCTGTATGCAGGCGCGAGGCGCCGGAAGTGACAACCCTCTTTTTCCGTGAGAACTTCCTTCATGGACGATCACGCAGTGGGTGCCTTCTCAGTTTTATGTTGTGCTCTGTATAGATATAACTGTTTAGATATGAGGTCGACCGGTTTGAGATGATCAGCCAAGGGTCATTCTGTAGAGTTTATGCTGGATCCTGGCGCGATAGATTGGTCGCCATCAAGGTTCTCGACAATTTTACTCCAGCTTCGACATTTCGTCGAGAGGTCGAGCTGTGGCGCAGACTCAAACACCCTCAGGTCGTTCGTATGTTCGGGGCGAGTAGCGCCCATGGCTCCAAGCCATGATTCATCGTGAGCGAGCTATACGAACGCGGAAGCCTCGTGGAGTGGTTGGTGACCATGGCACGCGATGATTACGCCACGCTACGCGAAGTGGACCAGTTCCGATTTATCTCTCAGATCGCTGGCGGGATGGAATACTTGCATGCCCAAGGGGTGGTACATAGTGATTTAAAGGTTCGTGAGCCCTACGATGTCCCTATGCTCTGCTCATGTATTGGAACAGTGTGAAAATGTGTCCGTGAATGCAGAAGGAAACTGTGCCATTGCTGAATTTGGTCAGAGCGAACTCAAGGATGATGCCTACAGGCTGAGCGGGTGTCAACGACCGAGTATGTCGACTTTTGCAAGTAGGGTTTTGTTTCTGACCACCTGATTGCACAGATGGGATGCCGAGGTGGAAAGCGCCAGAAATTTTGGATGGTGCCGCAAGTCCGACAATGCAAGCGGACGTCTACGCTTTTGCCATCTGCTGCGTAGAGATCCTCAACATGGGTAGCATTCCTTATGGCACCCGAGACGACGAAGATACAAGGCGGATCGTGCTCGGTGCGTTCAACGCATCTTGTCTGACTTTCAAGCTTTCTTATGTGTCTCTAGAACACGACGCTCGCCCTGAGGTGTCCGATACCCCTCTTTCTCGGTGATTGATCTATATAAATTTAGATCCTGGTCAACCCAAGTTCGGCGTCAAATCCTATCTGTGATATGATCAGTACATCAATCGTATGTCTCTCACACATGTGCAATACAGTCTATTGATATACCCATGGCAAGATGGGTAGCGGGCCTAACAAAAAATACAGCTTGAAGTCTACTCTACCTCTAATAATGGAATAAAAAAACACATCTACCCTGCAGGTCATCACGGTATGGTCGTTTACAGGAAAATAGTAAAAAAGAAATCTGTCATCAACGAAAGCGGTCGTCTAACGGAACAGTCATCAAAAAGAACCTACACTGGCAGATTCGCTAGGTTGGCTTTTTCGATCATGGTCCCGTTCAAGTCGTTAAGCTTTTCGTCAGAATCCGTGCTCCGTCGAGCAGGATGTCCGGGGTCGCCGTGTTCTGGTTGGGGTGTGTGGTCCGTACTGCGGTCATAGAATATTGATACTGAAATGAACAGAATAGAGACAACTGCCAAGAGGAACCAAAATACTGCGGCTCGTCCTTGATACTCATGCGAGCCCCCATGGATGGCCTCCACGGATGTCTCTATTGAACTGACACCAGCGAGACCAATTGCTGATCCAAATTCAAGAGCGCCGTTAAAGATGACACCAACTGTGCCTGCCATCGACGAAGGTGCGGCTTGAAATATAGCAATGCTGTAATTACAGTCATTGGAACGTGTCAATGAAATTTTGACAATTTGAACTTACTTTGTGTGCGTATACGTCAGCATGACGCCTGCGCTCCCTAGAGAAAAAGCTGGGAATACGTATGGCCAATAGTCCTCAGGTTTTCCCCCGCCAAGTGCCAGCAATACGGTCGCGACCATGCAAAAAAACATGCCTGTCAGAATAATCCATTTCGGACTGAAGATCCGAGAGAGCGATCCAGTGAAACTCATAAAGAAAGCTGCGACACCGAGCGGGAGCCTGGTAAGTTAAATCAGTCTGAATGACAGGAAACATGGAGTGACAGTCGAGACCTTACATGTGCACAGCCGATGATATTACCGACCACTCAAGTACGTTTTGCCACAGGGTGGTAAAGATTATAAACACTGTGAACCACCATAATAATGGCAAGAGCGCCACGGCAAAAAGAATGGAGAAATTGGGGTAAAACCATGTCCGGGGTGGTCTGGTACAAGATCAGCCGATGATTGGTGGTAGGTGCGAGCATCCCTGATGACATACATTGCAGCTGTGTCCACATGTATGCGTGTTTCCCAGTAGAAAAACCCGATGACCATCATGATTGATATGATGAGCGGGACAAGGACCGCTGCAGATGCCCAGCCGTCAGTGGAGCCGGATGTCACAGCGAAGATGAACAAAATCAAGGCAACTGTCGAAGTTCGTGAGGGATGCGAAGCGGAGCATGCCGAAAATTCATACCAGTTAGGATGGTCACGCCGAGTAAGTCAAGACTTTTCCATTTCGCTGCTGCAGGCTCAAGATTGTCTTTGGTGTTTGCAATTTCTGGCGGTATGATGAAGGCACACGCCAGAGCCGCTGGCATAGCCACGATGGTCACAAACCAGAACACCCAATAGGTAAGATGCCCATTGGACGAACATTGCACCAATCATGAGACCGAGGACTATGGAACGGGACCATGAAGTTAGTCATGGATAATCAGCTAGGAGATGTTCTTACCGTTAGCGATGCAGGCGCAGCCTCCAAATATTCCTATTGCGCGAGCTTGTTCAAGCGGTTCCGGAAACACGTTGACCAACAATGCCAGGGCAGAGGGGATTGTCATCGAAGAAGCTGACAAGCGATCTTCGTCAGCCAAAACCGTCAGACCGGCGGGAATGTTTACCTATTCCAGTCAACGCTCTGAGAATGATGAGTGGAATGGTATCATCAACAAATCCAGCACACAGCGAGATGATACCAAGACCAGATACACCACCAACGAACCCAATTTCTGTGAGCCCATTAATGTCGCTATCTGACAGGTGCGGCATAGTACTGACTTGGGTTGTATACGTCGCTGATGCGGCCGCTCTACACAATGCGTTGAAGTGCAGGGTCAGAATCAATGGTATGAGCACGCACGATGAGCAGAAAAGATGCAAAGGTCAACTGGAATGCACTCATGATCCAAGTGGATTGACTTTCAGTCATACCCATGGATACTTCGAGTACAGGGATTGCGGAGAAGAGAGCTGAGTTACTGAAGGCATCTAAGAATTGGGCAAGACAAAACATAAACAGTAAAACTAGTTTGCGAGCAAGTGAAAGTTCATGATGAACTGGCGTTTCAGCCGAGGAGAGGGGTTGGAGTGGCGGCATCTAAATAAGATACTGCAATAAGTTGTCAGTTCAGGAGCGACCAACTGATGAAGGAGAGGTTGGGAAACCCTCTGTCAAGGATGAATGGCTCCATATTATACGAGGTATCTCCATGACCAATGTGAATCAGACACACTGCGACGCATCGCAACACCAGCGAAGATCTCGATTATGCCCTCTACTCATGTGAGTACGTGAATTCATGTGTAGTATGAGCTTATGTAAAATATTTGGGTCTTTGTCTGTATGCGCAACTTGAGGGAGGGACGTGCGACTAGCATCATGTTTGACTTACGATGGGTTTGGCGGAAATCCTTGCACCATCACGGAAAATCTGTATAGCCAGCCATCATAATATAGCTTGTGATGATTATGTAGGTTCAGCTACACAAACGGGACTTACTGAGCACAGATTCATTACATTGATTAGTGTAGGTTACTGCAAGGAATGACTTTGGTATGAGCCATCGTACTATTCATGCTTTTGTTCCCTCATCGCACTATCAATGTCACAAAGGTACTTCGCTTCAGCAGAATAAATTCAACCCCAGGATTGTGAGATTCTTGGTCACATTACCACTTTGTGTTTCAAACCGCACAGCTACGGCTACGAGCCTCTAGGGTGGAGGGAAAATCATTCAGCCTTTAGGGATGAGCACGAGTTTGGAAGAGTGTGGCATGAGTCTTACATGAAATTCGATCTACGAGATATGTTAAATCCCGCGGTGAAGCTTTGAAGGCCCAGACCAGTTGGACGTGGACTCTCAGTTCCGAAATCTCAGTGGCTGGCGGTAGCGCTATGGGTTGGAGGCAATTGTGCCGGGAATCGCCACTTCTTGACAAAAATTTCAAAAGCACTGCAAGGTAACTGTAAACACCATTAGAAGACATCCAGGTGTGATCATGACGTCATCGTCAACAGGCCGTAGATCTCGGTGGAAAGCCTCAGCGGCTCCAAATCATAATCATAACCCTCCAACGCTTCATTTCCGTTAACCGCATTCCCTTCGTGTGCTAAATCAGGGGCTTGTAGTCAGGAGGCAATCAGGGGCTCCATCAGAGGTGTCAGAGGTCCTGTTAGCTCTTACCCTGCTCACTGAGGCTGCTAGTCTCAAGTCGTCGTTCGTCGTTCGTCGTATCTCAACTCGAACCGGCGTGACATCATCGTGTTCGTATACTGTGACATGTGACAACGTGCGTCTTCCACCTTTCTACCTTGAAAGTTGTTCCTAATGCCTCTATTTTTTTTCAGCCGGGAATGCTGCAGCCATGAGGACGGTCTTCTTCTCGGGACCCAAGGCGTTTTGTAAAGTATATGATATTGACTTCTACGATCTGGTACCATATCGGTGAGGGAACTTGGCCGCCGCCATGAGTTTACCAAGTTGGAGAACTCCTAGTCATAACGTATTCACAACTCCTCGTCACTTGGTGCAACGGCCACCGCCACCGACCACAGCCCGACTTTAATTGATTGGCCTCATGCACGACGAACCTGTCGACATATTGCGTGAGTGTTTTAGATCCAAATGTCATACTCCGGTGCAAACGCCTTATACTGACCAGTGTCAACAGCTCATAGCCTATCCGGACGATCGAAATTTGTTCTGTAGGATTTCTATTCTGGATTACCTCCTTTCTGCGCATTACTACAACAGTAAATTGTTGCTGCGAGTCCGAGTCAGCCGCCACATAGTTTGACAATATGACATCAGGTCACATTATCCAACGACTACCTTGTTCACGCCGGCTGTTCTTGATCATTTACAAGACATTGTGTATGCATCAGCAAGAGCAAAGTGAAGTACAATTGCACCGATGACGCATCACCAGAGCGCTACGGTTCCACTGTTCAATGCATCAATATGACACGAGCCTAGAATCGTCTTTTGGCGCTCTTAGAATAGAAGGTTCGGCACGCACCCCTCTCTTCGTTTGCTGATGCATCTTCCTCTCGTGCTTGCTAATACATCAGCCCCCTCCAGGTCGACGTACTGTGATGCATCATGCATGTCACCCGCCCTCACTTTCTCACGTCCACCTAATTGTTGTTCAAACGATGCAACAAACTCAAGCGGCACATTCTGATACCAACTCTCGCTATATGTGTATCTACCAATATCATAACAAAGGTTCATGTATTCAAGTGCATGTCTTGCTGAGCGACGAGTACGACACGAGCAAGGTAATGCAAATGGACAACGATGTCATATTTTTACGGTGCGATGCAGACGATGGTGCCATTGAAGATTATAGAATATTATATCGTTCAAAGTCAGGTGGCCCGAGAAGAGATAACGATTGCTTGGCCAGACGGACAGCGATATCGACCCAATGAGCGCTGAGTCTTGGTGATAAGACCTAAATCAGCTTCAATCAGCAGGTCATGACTCGGACATCCGTCGGCAAGGATCTTCGATTCATTATAACTCACATGCTAGCTCATAAGGTCCTATATCAGCGTTGAAAGCTCACATACGTCGCCACTCGTCCGTCTTCCTTCACAACAAGTCGACCTCTGCACACCATAAATCTGCCTCCAGCGTTTTAGCCATGCCAAAACAAATCCGTCTCGGCATTCTCACGCCTTCCTCAAATACTGCGTTGGAACCTCTCACCTACCAGATTGTTTCCTCCATTCCAAATGTCTCCGTTCACTTCTCCCGTTTCCCAGTCAA